TTAAGTCCTCAGCAGTTCGCCCGTCTCCAGGGCTTCACTCTGGAACATATCAGCAGCCTAACTGCACCTGTGTGACTGACTCTAACTAAGTGTGTTTGGTCAGTGTGTGAGGTACCAGCACACTGCTGCACCACAACCTGTACGCCGTTAGCGGCAGTCATGTTAATTCAGTCAGACATGCAATAAATGAATAGGGAAAATATTTTCTTAACATTAAACTTCCTGAAAATGAACCAAATGACACTAGTTATGTTGATACAGGAAGATTTGAATTTATATTTTAATGAGAAGTTCAGTGTCGGTGAGGGTGATGATGAAATATTACAGTGATGGTGGTGAATAATGAGGAGACGGAGCTGAACGTGTGTCTGTTTATTAGGAGGAGTAACGTTAGCGCGCTCGGCTAAAGTTTTTGGGAAATGGAGACTGAAACTGGGGAGCGGCGATGCTCTGATAAACAGCAGGGCGCGCTCTCACTATATTCATACATTAAGATTATCACTCTTTAGGTTTGTTTGGCCTTTTGTACATCAGTATTGTAGCTGTCTGGCTAACTTGATTATTTTGATTATGTGTTCAGGTCTCAGCTGTGTGTGTACAGTCAGTTGCTAAGAAACAGACATGACAGCTGGCTGTCGACTTTGATCAAGTAGGTTAAGGTTTCTTAACTGTAGATCAGATGCTGTAAGAAAAGATTCCTAAATTAAGATCACATTTGCTTCTGTGATATGAATTTCTGAGAAATCTTTTCTTGACTTCTCAGATCTTAACCAGAACAAAAAAGAGGACGTTTCTGTAGTACGACCCCAGAATCTGGACTTGTCTGAGGTTCTTCTGAGAACTCTCAAGGTGCAACTGGCAGAACTTGAAGTCCAGAAACTAGATGTGAAAATTAAGAAGCTAAAAATTCAGCCCCTGTTAGAGACTCTCTGTGTATTATTCCTCGAGACAGAGGGCTGCTACAGACACTGAGCTGAAAAAGCTTAAAGATGAAAGTTTTTGTGGTGTTAACATCATACCATTTGTTTGGCTTGTAGATCGACAAGAGTAACTAGCTAATCTGGGGGCTCCAACTAAGCCTAAAGTTAGTGGGGTAAGTGAGAAGTACTGCATCATGAGACAGAACCCTGGATCCAGAATGCTGATAAAAGTATCTGTAATTTGGCTCCAATTTGGGAAACACTACGGTTTACATGGTGCCTCAATCCATATGCCCGTTCTAAAAAACACCTGTATCCTCCATCCTGCTCCAACCTGGTTTTCTGCATCTGGTCAAGTAATGGGCTTACCACAGTCTTCGAGTTCTGTAAGGATGGTGTCTTTTCATCCTTTTCAGACCTATCAACTAAATTCAGCTTACCCAATAGTCACCTGTTCCGCTTCTTTCAGGCCAGACATTTTGTTCAAAAGCTTTTCCCCCAATTCCCCAACTGTCCCCCTGAATCCCATATCGCTCAGGTTCTTACTCTTGATCATTTTCAGAAGCGACTCATGTTCCTTATTTAGAATTGGATTAAATCTTTATATGTAGCACCTACTGAAACTCTTAAAAAGTCCTGGGAAGAGAACTTGGGAATTGCAATTTCAGAAAAATGTTCCTCAATGTAAAATTGTGACTACAATACAGTACATAATATCATCAAAAGATTCAGAGATTCTGGAGAAATCCCTGTACGCAAGGGACAAGGCCGACGGTCAGTATTGATCTTCAGGCAGTCAGGCGGCACTGCATTAAAAACAGGCCTGATTCTGTACTGGAAATCACTGCATGAGCTCAGAAACACTTACAGAAATCATCGTTTATGAACACAGTTCGCCGTGCAATCCACAAACGCAAGTTAAAGCTGTATCATGCAAAGAAGAACGTGATCCAGAAACGCTGCCATCTTCTCTGGGCTGAAGCTCATTTAAAATGGACTGAGGTGAAATGGTAAACGGTTCTGTGGTCAGATGAATCAAAATTTTAAATTCTTTTTGGAAACCGTTTCCAAGAAAGTTGAGATGCTGTGCAAAATGTAAATGTAAATAAAAACAAAATGCAATGATGTGCAAATCATTTAAATCATTTAAATTTAAATACTTGAAAGACAACATCAAATGTTGAAACTGAGAAATTGTATTGTTTTTTGAAAAATATTTGCCCATTTTTAATTTGATGCCAATAACATGTTCCAAAACAGTTGGGATGGGGGGCAAACAAAGCTGGTGAAGTTGTGTAATGCTAAACAAAACACCTGGTGGTTAATTGACAACAAGTCAGTAACACGATTGGGTATAAAGAAGCATCCCAGAGAGGCGGAGTCTTTCAGAAGTAAAGATGAGGAGGGGGTCACCACTCTGTGAAAGACTGCACCATCAAATAGTGCAACAATTCAAGAATAACGTTTCTCAACCTAAAATAACAAAGAACTTTTGCTTTTCATCATCTACGGTACATAATAACATTAAAAGATTCAGAGAGTCTGGAGAAATCTCTGTATGCAAGGCCAAAAACCAGTATAAGCTGGCCGTGATCTTTGGGCCCTCAGGCAGCACTGCATTAAAAACAGACATGATTCTGTAGTGGAAATCACTGCATGGGCTCAGAAACACTTCTGAAAACCACTGTCGGTGAAAACAGTTCATCACTGCATCCACAAATGCAAGTTAAAACTCTAAAACACAAAGAAGAAACTAAGTATAGACAAGATTCAGAAATGCTGCCACCTTCTCTGGGCCTGAGCTCATTTAAAATGGACTGAGGGGAAGTGGAAAAGTGTCCTGTGGTCTGATGAATCAACATTTGAAATTCTTTTTGGAAATCATGGACACTGTGTCCTCCAGGCTAAAGACCACTCAGCTTGTTATCAGTGCACAGTTTAAAAGCCAGTATTCATGATGGTATAGGGGGCATTAGTGCACATGGCATGGGTGACGTGCACATCTGTGAAGGCACCATTAATGCTGAATGATATATACATGTTTTGGCAACATATGCTGCCGTCCAGATGACGTCTTTTTTTCAGGGAAGGCCTTGATTATTTCAGCAAGACAATGACAAACCATATTCTGCATGTATTACAGCAGCATTGATTCATATTAAGAGTCCAGGCACTAAAATGACCTGCCTGCAGTCCAGATCTGTCACCATTGAAAACATTTGCCGCATTATGAAATGTAAAAAAAAAAAAAAGACTAAAGAGACTCTGAACTGATGAGCAGCTGAAATCTTACATACAACAAGAACAGAAAACATTTCACTTTTCTACACTACAGCAGTGTCTCCTCAGTTCACAAACCATTACAGTGTTGTTAAAGAAGAGGTGATGAAACAATATTTTTCAAAAAAACAATAAAATTTCTCAGTTTCAACATTTGATTTGTTGTCTTTGTACTATTTTATTAAATATAGGGTTTTAATGATTTTATTATATTATTATATTTTGTTTTGGTTTTTTTACATTTTGCACAGCGTCCCAACTTTTTTTGGGAAATGGGGTTAGACAAGCATTACTGATAACTAGTCAAAAATAGGCAGCTTTGCTCAAAAATTCAAAAATTAAAATTAAACTCAACACACCAGGATGGCAGGAAAGGCAGTTTCTTTAATAAAAGATTAAGGCTCTCCAACAAACAAGCATTACTCTGACTTGGCTCAGGCAACAACTGACCACTCCACAAAAACCCCAAAATCTTTATACTCTTTTCTGTGCAAGGATGGTTATCACCTGGCTCCTCCTTGCCCCTCCCAAATAATTCAAACCGTTAGATTTGCACACCATTATCTCCATTATTTCCAAACCTTACACTGTTTCTCTGATTATCTTTCATGTCATTTTTTACATCATTTTTTACATTAATGATTCTTTGATTATTTCCAAGCCAAATAGTAGCATATTTAAAAAAAATAATAATCACAGGCCATGATCAGGTGCAGGCCTTTAAATTTTATTAACTTTATTTATTACTTTAATTCACAATTGAGTCTCTTTGTATATGTGCTTCTCTTTTTCTCTCTGGGGTGGAACCCTCAAGGCTCCATCTCAGTACCTTTAGTCAGGGAACACAACTGAACCATAATCCACTGAAATGATATGTTCTAAGCTGTACTGACTCCACACACCCTGTCTCGTCTCCAGGCTTTTATTTTACTGTTCTGTTTAAAACATTCGGTTATGAAAAGGTACAAATATGAACTTTTCACCTGGAAGAACTTATTTAAGGTTCACAATCAGACCTTAAAACCACTGTTGGAGCTTTGAGGGGAACATTTACACTGTTTGTACCTTGATGAACCTTTATTTCTAACAGTGTAGAGTGAGCCATACAGCATATGATTAGTATTATTAAAAGTATCTATTACTTGAAAAATATTTCAGATTATCAAAAAATCTCCCTCAAACTTGTAGACAAACACCTGGTGTTTACTTCAGCTCATCTTGTGCTGTTTGATGAACACGACACGTTCAGACACACTAACTACTCTCGCCTACTGTGTAGTGTGGAGGTCTGCCATTGTGGATGCACCACTGCATACAAACTCACCATCTGAACTATCAACCCATCCATTTTAAACAGGTAGCAGCAAAAAGTCCTGTTAATTCATATATTTAATTTAAACAGCTCTGAACAGGACACAGCTCAGGCTCATTACACACATATATTATGAAATGGACATTAAAGTGTCCAGTGTGAACAGAGAGAAAATCAGACTGCTAGGGGTTCAGATCATTCACAAACAAACCCGTTAGAAAAGAGAGCAGTTTAGGAGTCTTCAGCGCTTTAGTTTGGCTGAGACAAACGCGCTGTGTAGACACTGTTTAATCTCTCGCTCTAAACCCAGAACAGAGGTGGCAGTGCTGCTGAATTCACTTGTGTGAACGTGAAATGTTGGGGAAACAGATGATCCCCTCTTTATGCAAATTACACACGGCAGCGCCCCAACCAATCAGGTGAAAGCCACTGTCCGCTGTCCGTGCACAACGAGGACAGTTCCGCCCGGATGACGTAGGAGAAAAGTCAATAAGCGCCTGGTTTCGATCCAAAACTGAACAAACACGAAGACAGAGTTAAATAAACGCCGCGCAGCAGAGTCTCTGACTCGGACGGGCTCAGAGTGAGTCAGAGGCAGAACCGAGCCGCAGTTCCGGCTCATACGGGTCTGTTCGGGTGGCTGGTAGCCCGTGTAGCAGCAGACAGACCGACCCACACCGAGCTGTGTAAACATAGAGAGAAGCGCTGAGAGGAGGATTCACTCCTGATGGGGTTAAAACCCTGACTGACCGGTTCATTCGCCTCCTGCGCTGCGGAGGAGGAGGCGGAGGGATATAACTGCACTATAACTCCGCGCCGCGTCACTGTGAGGCTGACTGCGTTCACGAGGAGCGGAAGGAAAAGTAGTTCCTGTGCAGTTACAGCAGTAATTTAAGAGTTTTTACCTTTCCAGTACCTACATTCACTTTCTGAGCTTAATCATTAAAATAGCCGTTTACATAAAGCACAGTATCAGTAGTTTTATTAAATGTGGGGTTTGTGCTGTGAGGGATCCGCCCAGCTGTACTTCCCTCTGTTCTTCACTTCCTGAAGGGAAACCGAAAGTAACTCTGCAGCGTGACGCACTTTCAGAGAGAGACAAAGAGCAGAGATAAACGGTCTTCAGTCTCCTACAGGGTGAGTGACCTACAGTCAGCACTGACTCTCAGCACTAGCGCTGATTTAAAGCAGGTAAACTCTGTTTATGGTAAACACACAGCGCTGTGTTTACTGTACTGACCCGGGTCAGGACCGGTACTGTGTGAAATGGCCGCTAGTTCGGTGAATTATTGACCACTGAAAATGGTGAATTATTGGCTCATGACTAAACTAGAATGTCCAGCTGTTAAAATACTGCTATAACTATATAGTCTTACTGGTTCAGTGTGAACTGGGTGTGTAAACGCCTCGATTACAGCTCGTATTTTCCATGATCTATAATTCGAGTCAGTAGAGTCAAAATGGCGGTCATTGGTCAGAGATTCCGCTCTCAGCTTTTACCGAGACTCGCTCAGTCAGAGTGATAGTATTACTATGATGCACATAAATACTCCTGCAAATAAGTGCTATAATGTAAAATTATTTATGGCAGTTATAATTATTAGGGGGTTATATAGCTGTGTTATGATTATTAGGGGGTTATATGGCTGTGTTATGATTATTAGGGGTTTTATGGCTGTGTTATAATTATTAGGGGGTTATATAGCTGTGTTATGATTATTAGGGGGTTATATAGCTGTGTTATGATTATTAGGGGGTTATATGGCTGTGTTATGATTATTAGGGGTTATATGGCTGTGTTATAATTATTAGGGGTTATATAGCTGTGTTATGATTATTAGGGGTTATATAGCTGTGTTATGATTATTAGGGGTTATATGGCTGTGTTATGATTATTAGGGGTTATATGGCTGTGTTATAATTATTAGGGGTTATATAGCTGTGTTATGATTATTAGGGGTTATATAAGCTGTGTTATGAGTATTAGGGGTTATATGGCTGTGTTATGATTATTAGGGCGTATATGGCTGTGTTATAATTATTAGGGGTTATATAGCTGTGTTATGATTATTAGGGGTTAATATAGCTGTGTTATGATTATTAGGGGTTATATGGCTGTGTTATAATTATTAGGGGTTATATGGCTGTGTTATAATTATTAGGGGGTTATATGGCTGTATTATGATTATTAGGGGGTTATATGGCTGTGTTATAATTATTAGGGGGTTATATGGCTGTGTTATGATTATTAGGGGGTTATATAGCTGTGTTATGATTATTAGGGGGTTATATGGCCGTGTTATAATTATTAGGGGTTATATGACTGTGTTATGATTATTAGGGGTTATATGGCCGTGTTATGATTATTAGGGGGTTATATGGCTGTGTTATGATTATTAGGGGGTTATATGGCTGTGTTATAATTATTAGGGGGTTATATGGCTGTGTTATGAATATTAGGGGTTATATGGCTGTGTTATGATTATAAGGTGGTTATATGGCTGTATTATGATTATTAGGGGGTTATATGGCCGTGTTATAATTATTAGGGGGTTATATGGCTGTGTTTTAATTATTAGGGGGTTATATGGCTGTGTCATGATTATTAGGGGTTATATGACTGTGTTATGATTATTAGGGTGTTATATGGCTGTGTCATGATTATTAGGGGTTATATGACTGTGTTATAATTATTAGGGGGTTATGTGGCTGTGTTATGATTATTAGGGGGTTATATGGCTGTTTTACAATTATTAGGGGTTATATGGCGCTGTTATGATTATTAGGGGTCATATGGCCGTGTTATGATTATTAGGGGGTTATATGGCCGTGTTATAATTATTAGGGGGTTATATGGCTGTGTTCTAATTATTAGGGGGTTATATGGTGCTGTTATGATTATTAGGGGGTTATCTGGCCGTGTTATAATTATTAGGGGGTTATATGGCCGTGTTATAATTATTAGGGGGTTATATGGCGCTGTTATAATTATTAGGGGTTATATGGCCGTGTTATAATTATTAGGGGGTTATATGGCGCTGTTATGATTATTAGGGGGTTATATGGCGCTGTTATGATTATTAGGGGTTATATGGCCCGTGTTATAATTATTAGGGGGTTATATGGCGCTGTTATGATTATTAGGGGTTATATGGCCGTGTTATAATTATTAGGGGGTTATATGGCGCTGTTATGATTATTAGGGGTTATCTGGCCGTGTTATAATTATTAGGGGGTTATATGGCGCTGTTATGATTATTAGGGGTTATATGGCCGTGTTATAATTATTAGGGGGTTATATGGTGCTGTTATGATTATTAGGGGGTTATCTGGCCGTGTTATAATTATTGGGGTTATATGGCGCCTGTTATGATTATTAGGGGTTATATGGCCGTGTTATAATTATTAGGGGGTTATATGGCGCTGTTATGATTATTAGGGGGTTATATGGCTGTGTTATGATTAATAGGGGGTTATATGGCGCTGTTATGATTATTAGGGGTTATATGGCTGTGTTATAATTATTAGGGGGTTATATGGCTGTGTATTGATTATTAGGGGGTTATATGGCTGTGTTATGATTATTAGGGGGTTACATGGCCGTGTTATGATTATTAGGGGGTTATATGGCCGTGTTATGATTGTTAGGGGGTTATATGGCTGTGTTATAATTATTAGAGTACTTCCAAGTTCCACCTTTTGCGTTCCGTCAACGTTACGTTATAAATTAAATATTCAGAAAATCGATTTTTGACATTTGTGAATCGATTCAGAATCGTTCACGTCCGCATCGCGATGCATCTTAGAATCGATTTTTTCCTGCACCCCTATTCCCTATGATCTCTGAGCTCTCACTACAGAATAAGTAACTTACTCTTACACCGCGCTAACACTGCTCTACTCTAATACTCTGTTATTATTATTATTATTATTTATTTATTATTTTATTATTATATGATTGTTTACCGTGTAATTGAACAAAGCAAGTAGAAAAGAGTTTTCTGTGATCTTAGTTTGTCATAGATTGAATATGAACAGTAAGTCAGGCTGGAGGAGGATTTTAAGGAGGCTTCACTTTTCTCACAAAGGAAATCCTTAAACAGGAAACAGGAAGCAGCAGAGAAACAGTGAAAACAGAACCATCACCAGTGTTTTAACCAACGTTTGTAGGCAGAAGAGAATCAGACAGAACAAACCAACTTCACCTGGGTATATAACCCAGACTGTCCTAGTTTAAGCAGTCTGTCCATCTACTGTGGACCTTTGGAGGTTCTTTACTCTGTACATTAATACATTAAACAGGTTTATCACGTTTTAGACAAGCCTGAGAGAAAAAGGCGCTTTGTAGACTTTTAGTTGTGTGTTCTGTACACATACTGTGATGAGTGAAAAATACAGAAAACACATACAGAAAAATAAGAAAAAAAAACAACCCCTATTCCAAAAATGTTAGGACGCTGTGTAAAATGTAAATAAATATAAATAAAAACAGCAAATTTCACAGACCCATATTTTATTCACAATAGAACACAGATCAGATGTTGAAAGTGAGACATTTTACCATTTCATGAAAAACACTGACTCATTTAGAACTTGTTGGCAGCAACGCATCTCCAAAAAATTCGGGACAGGGGCAACAAAAGACTGGAAAAGTAAGTGGTATTAATAAAAAACAGCTGGAGGAGCAATTTGCAACTAACTCACATGACTGAGTATAATAAGAGCATTTCAGAGAGGCAGAGTCTCTCAGAAGCAAAGATGGGGAGAGGTTCACCAATCTGAGAAAAACGGTGTCTAAAAATTGTGGAACAATTTAGTACATAATATCATCAAAAGATCCAGAGAATCTGGAGAAGTCCCTGTACGCAAGGGACAAGGCCGACGGTCAATATTGGATGCTTGTGATCATTGGACCCTCATTTGGCACTGCAATAAAACAGGCATGATTCTGTACTGGAAATCACTGCATGAGCTCAGGAACACTTCCAGAAATCATTGTCTGTGAACAGAGTTCGCCATACCATCCACAAACGCAAGTTAAAGCTGTATCATGCAAAAAAGTAGCCAAATGTCAACACAATCCAGATGCACAGCCGTCTTCTCTGAGCCAAAGCTCATTTAAAATGGACTGAGGCAAAATGGAAAACTGTTCTGTGGTCAGATGAAGCAAAATTTCTAATTCTTTTTTGGAAACACAGTTCAAAAGTCTGCATCTCTGATGGTTTGGGGGTGCATTAGTGCCTATGGCGTGGGCAGCTTACACATCTGGAAAGGCTCTATCAATGCTGAACAGTATATAGAGGTTTTAGAACAACATCTGCTCCCATCCAGACAGCGTCTCTTTCAGGGAAGGACTTCATGTTTCAGCAAGACAATAAACCACATACTGCATCCATCACAACAGCATGGTTTCGCAGAAGAAGAGTCCAGGTGCTGAACTGGCCAACAGTCCAGACCTTTCACCAATAGAAAACATTTGGCCATTTGGTGCATCATGAAACGAAAAATCCAGCAAAGAAGACCCAGAATTGTGGAGCAGCTAGAATCCTACATCAGACAAGAATGGGATGACATTTCTCTCCCAAAACTCCAGCAGCTGGTCTCCTCACTTCCCAGATGTTTACAGACTGGTGTTGAAAAAGAGGGGATGCTACACGATGGTAGACACGGCCCTGTCCCGACTTTTTTGAGATGCGTTGCTGCCATCAGGTTCTAATTGAGTTAATGTTTTTCATGAAATGGTAAAATGTCTCACTCAACATCTGATATGTGTTCTATGTTCTATTGTGAATAAAATATGGGTCTGTCAGATTTGCAAATCATTGCATCCTGTTTTTATTTACATTTATTTACATTTTACACAGCTTCCCAACTTTTTTGGAATTGGGGTTGTAAATAAAAAGAAAGATTTTACTTTGATTTTCACCACTCGGTCCAGGTGTAACTTTCATATCTTGTTCATCTCTCCTTTCATGTTCCCAGGTTCCATATGAAAGAAACATCAGTATAAGACTCCACTGAACCTCCTGAGCCTTAATGCAGTTTTACTCTGTATCATTCTAAATCAAAGGCGAACACAGGTGCATTAGAAATATTACTAAACAAGTGAGCATGAACAACAGCTGCTATTGATCTGATCAGGCTTTAGAGGGAGGGCTTTAAAAAACTAAAACAAGCAGAACTACTAACTCTGACCCATCTGAAGTTCAGAACAGGTGGTGTTGCTGTTAAGATACAGGTGATTTCTTATTTATTGATCTTTATGTGTCGTTTTTAGGAATCCTGATGTAGGTCAGTCATGCAGTACTACAGTTCTGCTCTCTGTGTCCTGATCTTACTGGTCACACTCGCTGATGGTGAGTACTGCACTGTTCTTACTCTTCACACTGTGCTGTTTTAGTTCCTCACTTAAAGTTTTTCACCTCAACATTTTTAATGTTTTGTTGTTACTCTTGATAAAACACTCCCTCCAGTTTTCTTTTACACAGCAGTTTTGCAAAGTGAAGAGAAAAGTAAAGACGCCCTAAACATATCAAATGTGCTTTAATATTGGCTGTTTCTTCATCATAATAAGTCACTGTGTTACAGACAGAGCTGTAAAACTGCCTCAGTATCTTTCAGTGTGTCCAGATGAAGCTGGATGTGGTTTTGTTCCAGTCAGTCTGTAAAGTGTTTCACAGCACGTCTCATTTGCTGAACTGTGCTCTGTTGGTTTCTGGCTGATTCCAATTTGTTCTGTTGTTCTGAAAAACTTACTTAATATCACAGACGAGAGGTTCTGAATCTGCTGTAGTCCTGCGGTCACTCTCTTCTTCAGAATCTGACCAAATGGGCTGCAGCACAAATACTATCCAGTAGAAGTTATCTGATGTGTCTGTGTTTGTTTTGTGCTCAGCAGACTGGAACAGTTACTGTAAAAAATCAACATGTTGTCATTTGTGATAGAACACTTCTCAACCAATCAGATCGTGTCGTCAGAGCCAGTTTAATTGCTATTGGTGAATTACTGCTGTAGAGGAAATAAGCAATTTAATTATTTTATTGTTACTCAAATAAGGGTCTAGGGTAACCAGAGTCATCTCTCCCAGCTGACCACAGGAAGTAAGGAAACACGCTCACACGAAGGACACTTCAATCAAAAGGGCAGTTTATTTAGCTAAATATCAAAAAACAAAATTCAAGATACTTTCAGTGATAAACTTTATTAAAAGATACAAAACAAGACTGTAGAGAAAATCTAGAGTGAGCTGATGTTCATAGTAGCCTCAGTCAGCAGCAGCCCCAGGAGGAAGACTTCAATGCTTTCCCGGTGACAAGCCTACTTGCGCCACCTAGGGTGTGAGTGGGTGCAGTGGCCGGTTGTGTTGCAGCGTGGCGAGTACAGTTCCGAGATTCTGGATGAGGCTGGACTTGAAGGCTCAGCAGGGCCATGGTTCTGAATATGGTCAGATGTTGAGGCTACATAGTACTACCTCTAATTTTCTTGGTGCTGCTAAGACAAAGTCAGTTCTGATTGGTGGTACACAGTGAGCAGCTTCATCCACAGGAATTCCACTGTACCTTTGTTCATCTAAATCAGATCCACAATAACGGAATAAACGAAAGATATCAGGGACAAAAACGCTTCAAATACCATAACAGTTACTCACAGTTTGAATACCGAATTACAGAAACTTCTTATCTTTTTGTCTGAAGTTCTGACAGGTCAAGATAAGATTCATCACAAATTCGTATTACAGAAGCAAATCTGACCTTAATTTAGGAACCTTATCTTATCTTACAGCATCTTTTCTTATCTCCATTTAGGAAATCTTAACTTACTCGATTGAAGTTGACAATCAACTGTCTGTTACCTAGCAACCGACCATATCCGCACAGCTGAAACGTCAACACATGATCAAGTTAGTTAGTCAGACGGCTATTAGCAACCATTACTAAGGTAAAAAAAGGTCAAACAGAACTAAAGTGTGATAAACTGTGAGTTGTGAATGCTGTGAGAGCGCCCCCTGCTGTTTATCAGAGCGACGCCGCTCCCCACTTTAGCTGTTTAAACGTTATCCCTCCTAATAACAGACACATGTTCGAGTCTGTAGTGTCTGAGATTTTTAAACGCTGTTAGAAAATAAAATCATAAGTCAAAGCAGCGTTTTCAGTTTAGAGAAATGTAGCTCATTATGCTGGTTACAGTGAACTGTGCTGACTGTCACTGCATAAAACAATAGAAACAGACGATTAAAACAGAAGTTAAGAGGCTCTGGAGTTCATCTTAAAGTTAAGAACATATTTAGGAGATTTTGCTTAGTTAGGATGTTTCTGTAAAACCGTTTTCTTATCTGGAAATAAGAGATTATAGACTTCAGAGCTGTTATTCTGTAATGGCTTCTGTCCCAAATTCAGTCCTAACTGAAGTTACCATGACAACAAAGCAGATAAGCTATGATCTCAGTCTTAATCATTTTCTGTAATATGGCTCCTGGTTCCTGACCGGGGCTCGTAAACAGAGAGTTTGTGAGTGTCTTAATCCCAGTGTTACGGCTTCATCTGGACTCTGTGGAACACGAGCTGTTAGCTTTGGGGTTGTGGAGGTCTTTTAAGCTGAACCCAGGTGCTGCGTCCACTACACTGCTGACGATGCGTCAGGAATTACAGACTGTTTAACAGTAATCTAAACACAAAGCACTGTCGTGTGAAAATAGCTCCATTCTACTATATTCATAACTCATAATTTACAGTATTTATGTTATTAGAGAGGGAGTTTCTGTTGTTTAGTTGAGTTTAAAAAGTGTTTCCATTCAAAACTGACCATCATATCAGCCAGTAAATCACAGTGTAACTACAGGTACTGGAGTATAACACTAATAAAACATTGAAGTATAAAACTGTTTTACTGATTTAGGTGATTCCAAATGGTGACTGAGTGGAAAATATAATAATGTATATTTTACATGTTCAGTTTAATAAAACCATTATTAATCCATTATTAATCTGTTTCGTCTACAAATATCAACAATAATTAACATTTTAACACAGCCACTTCTTAAACTGTTACTAAACCCATTCTCAACTCTCCTTTACTGATTCTCTCTTTCAGTGTCTGAATCAGCTCCTTCTACAGTGAAGGTGAAGCTTAATGAGCCTGCGACTCTGCCCTGCTCTAAGAGATGCTCTGGTTTGGTCAGATGGACGGAGTTCAGTAAACCCACTGATGTTCTGGCTGAGTGTGATCAGACTTCATGCAGATCAGTGAAGGAGGGATATCAGATGATCCGTGATCAGTACCTGAAGGGAGATCTCTCTCTCATCATCACTGATGCTGATTCCACTAAGAGAGGCTGGTACACGTGTGACTGTGGTGGTAAAGATCTCTGTGATGTGCACCTTCATGTTAAGGGTAAGTGTTCATCTCTCTCTGTTCCTCTGTTCTCAGTTCAGTGCAGTTCAGAATAGCATTATTAACATGACTGTCAAATACAGTGTTGCCAAAACACTGTAACAGTTATCAGTGTCCAGGTGTTCGTCTGTGCAGACAGTGACTCCTCCTCCTCTGCCGATGCCCTCTTTAAAGGTGACTCTGTAGCGTCTGCAGATGTCCGTGCGGACGGGCGGCGGTGTGGAAGATCAGGTTGTTTTTGATCCTCTTGCCGTAAAGCTGGATGAAGTCTGTGTACAGAGTGTCTGGTTCTCTTTTAGGGTCTTTTCTTTGTGTTGTTTCTTTGCCTGATCTCTCTTACACTTCACAGGACACTCCACCTCTCTGCACTGCACTGCTGACCAAGCAGTGCTGTAGTTTCTAACGGCTCCATCTTGGGGGCGTCTGGCACTTCAGCAGTTAGCTCCAGTTACTAGTGGAGCTGAGAGTTCTAGTTTTTTCAGTTTAAAGCTTTTGAGCAGTGTGTTCTTCAGCAACTGATCCTCCCTCACTGTATGATGTTGTATTGCCATACCTGAAGTTCTTCTGTTTCCCCCTCTCTTTGTGTACTGAAGTCCAAATTCTGCCAGCACTTATTCTCTCTGTCAGTCCACGAAACTCTGATTCCTTTTCAGGTTGTTTTCTTGAAGGATTTAGTGAAAAATACCTACATTTTGATGACAGTTCAAGATAGTTCAGTAGTTCAAGAGCTCATTTTACAGTGTTAGCTGCTCTCGCTTTTCACTCACTCAGAGGAGAATTCAAACCCAGGCCTCCCTGCATGAAAACCAGCATAAACCGAGTGAGCCAGGAACACAGGCGTTAGGGAGAACCCGAGTGCAGAACATGTAAGGAAGTGAAACACTAACTAAAAACTGAACAAGCAGGGATCAAACCCACTCAGCTGAGGTGGGGAAAATAGAGTGGACTTTAACCAATAGGACCCGAAAATGGGTGGAAACTAGAATTCTAACTGAACTCACTACAGTGGGAGGGAGAACAAAGGACTGCCAGGGAAGCTGGCTGGCACAGGGCAAGAAACAGCAGAACACCAAGCAGTACTGCCCAAAGCAAATACAAAGGCAAGGTGAAAGGAGACTGACCACTGATAATACCAACCTAAAGTTCTTTAGTAAATCATTTTTATTTTATTAAAAATAAATAATTTAAATAATTTAATTATTTCACATCAAGCAAAGATATTAATTGTTTTTCTTTCTTCAATGTTAGTTTAGCGGTGACTTGCGTCGTTGTTTGGGAAATGCCCCCCCGATTGGTTGAGAAGTGTTCTATCATAAATGAAAACGTTATGTTTTTTACAGTAACCATATGTTCCGATGGACACATTATGATAGCTTTTCAAAACAACTAAACAAACTGGAATCAGCCAGAAACCAAAAGAGCTCAGTTCAGCAAACAAGACGTGCTGTGAAACACTTTACAGACTGACTGGAACAAAAGCACATCCAGCTTCATCTGGACACACTGAAAGATACTGAGCTCAACCTGATATTCACACTGTTTTAGGCCTATATTACAGAAAATTCTTAAGTCTGAGATCAGAGCTTATCTGCTTTGTTTAAGTATAAAACTGTTTTACTGATTTAGATGACAGTTTTTGTGGAATTAATAAAAAAGTATTATCATTCCAAATGGCAACTGCATGTAAAATATGCAACTGAGTGGAAAATATAGTATTTTAGATGTTGAGTTTAATAAAGACATTATTAATCTGTTTCTTCTACAAATATCAACAATAATTAACCAACATTTTAACACAGCCACTTCTTAAACTGTTGCTAAACCAATTCTCAACTCTCCTTTACTGATTCTGTCTTTCTTTGTCTGAATCAGCTGTTTCTACAGTGAAGGTGAAGCTTAATGAGACGGCTGCTCTGCCCTGCTCTAAGAGGTGTTCTGGTGTGGTCAGATGGAAGGGATCAGTTAACTCCACTGAGTTTAAGGGTAAGTGTTCATCTCTGTTCTCTCTCTGTTTCTCTGTTCTCAGTTCAGTGCAGTTCAGAATAGCGTTATTAGCAGTACTGTCAAATACACACTGTAACCATAGCAACAAACAAAATAACTACGAGATCTGAAATAAATAATGACCGTATTGACTTCTGTAAATACTATAATAAGATTAAGATTATTTTAATTATAGGGTTAGTAATTATGATTATCTGTAGGGTGGGGGTATGGGGGGTGGGGTCAATATGGTAGGGGTCAGTAGAGTGGGCGTATGGGGTAGGGGTTGGAAGGATGGTGGTGTGGGAGGTGGGGGTCTGTAGTAGTTTGGGGTATGGGGGTCCGTAGGTCAGGGTATGGGGGTCCGTAGTTTGGGGTATGGGGGTGGGGTCGGCATGGTAGAAGTCACTAGAGTGGGTGTGTGGGGTGGTGGTCGGAAGGATGGGGGTATTGAGGGTGGGGGTCAGTAGGGTAGGGGTATGGTGGGGTCTTACCCACTGTCTCTCAGGCAGTGACGTTACATATTCAGCATTGAGGGGGGCTGGGTGCCCCTCTCCATGGATCATTCATAATTTTTTCAGTTGCTGCTGTGTGTTGGGAGCTGTTAGAGCGTTTAGAAGCCTCAGAACCAGCTGATGGTTTTCTTAGTTCTTTTCTAATTGATTGGCAAGGTGAAAGGAGACTGACCACTGATAATACCAACCCAAAGTTCTTTAGTAAATAATTTCACATCATTTCACATCAAACAAAGATATTAATTGTTTTTCTTTTTTCATTCAGGTCTTTTCTTCTCCCCTCTCTGTTTTTCTTACCTGTTGTGTTTCTTTATTTTCTTTGAACTGTTTGGGTTTTTTTTTTCTTTTCTTTCAAGAGCAGAGACAGAGGATAAAACTCAAGAGCCTTCATGAACGCTCTCGTCTCTCCTCGGGTTACCAGTCCAGTCGTTTGTAAGGATATTTATGCAGAGACTGAGTGAGGCTGGAACTGAGCATTGCTCTTAAATAGGCCATTCCACAGGTGTAGTGTGGGATCTCCCTTGATTAGGGGTAGTCTTACGTCGCCCTCTAGTGGCCGGTGTGGGTTGAGCTCTGGACCGGGCCCTCACACCATCTGTCTCTCTCTTCCTCAAGTGTTTGGTTGCTCTTATAAAACAGTTCTGCAAATAGAAACAGTAAAGCAAAGAAGTCCCAAACATTGTAGCAAAAGTGGCTCAACGTCAGCAATTCGCTCTTCCACAAAGTAGACCCCTCAGAGCCCTGAAACAGTGTGAATATCAGGTTGAGCTCAGCTTTTTCAGTGTTTCCAGATGAAGCTGAATTTGTTCCAGTCAGTCTGTAAAGTGTTTCACAGCACATCTTGTTTGCTGAGCTGTGCTCTTTTGGTTTCTGGCTGATTCCAGTTTGTTTATTTGTTCTGAAAAGCTCACTTAAGATCAATGACAGGTTCTGAATCTGCTGTAGCCCTGCAGTCACTCTCTTCTTCAGAATCTGACCAAATGGGCTGCAGTTCAAATATTATCTTACAGAAGTTATGTAACAAACATCCAACCAACAACTGATTCCCAAAACCATTGCAGCTCAGTTGGACCACAGTACCATGGACCATGATAGCTGGAACCAAACACCTATGAACAGTAGCCACAGATATGGTGGAACTGTATCATGAACGTCAGTGAAAATGAAGCTTTAATTAGACTCATGAAAAGTAATATTGACTAAAATATGCATGACCAGTGTGTTCAAATTGTCACTGATTAGATACTAAACCACTACAATGTGTTAACACTGTGGGAAAACAGGAGGTTTCTAGTTCAAATCTGACCTGTAGCATTTTGTGTTTCTGGGTTCGACTCACAGCAACCATAACACAGAATTCACAGACTTCACCGTATTTCAACCTATATTTGATGAATGAACACAGCTTAATATTATTTAGATCTAATATTTCAGTGTTTATCTTACATACAAGTCTTAACTAAAATCAGGCCTAATTTTCACAAGGTAAACAAACACAGGGTTGGCTGTCCCAGGCCCTGGCTGATGGATCCTCCCTGCCTTCACTTCTCCTCTGTACTCCTCTGTCACTCCTGTCGTTCATTCCTTACTCTAGTTGTCATTCGTACATTTTTCTTGCATTTCTGTGGAATCTTGTATGTTCTGAGTTCATCTCTTGCCTCTCTCCCTGTTTTTCCCCGATCTCTTCTGCAGTACATACAAACTCATAGTTGGGCCTCATGAACTGCTGTTATTGCTTAACTCTGTAATGTTTTAATTACATTTAGAGGACCAAAAGTAAAATAACAAGAACAAAAGTAAAACAACTTCTCCATTTTCAAGAGCCCAAACACCAGATTTGTCTCTCAGCAAATGACTGCAGCATGAATGATTCAGTGTTTTAACTGTAAAATATAATAGTAAGTTAACAAAACAGTAATCAGTGTTTTTCATTCTGAAGGCAACCAGGTTACTGACTTTAGGTTAAACCAGTGGATCTGTTTTACAGTGTGTAAACCACGTGGTCCATGTATCTGGATTATACATTAATCTTTCATTATGTAGTCATATCAGATTGTTTTACACTGTAAAAGCAGATCTCTAACACTGCCCCACATTATCTATCATGTATTAGAGTTTGGAACAACTTGAAATGGACAATTTACAAATAACACAGTATGGTAACCAATATTTGTACCTTTGTTTTGTGGTACCTGTTTCCACTAAGTTATGTGTATATCATATAAAGGTACTATGACTCCTAATGTGACTACTGTTCATTACAGTTTTGTTTTTACTAGATCTTCATTTCCTTTCTGTACGTTTTTGGTTTTCATATTTATATTGTATAGTATTTATATTATTTCAGACGGGGAGTTTCTGCTGTTTATTTGACCTAAAGAAGTGTGACTAAACAAAACTGACCATCATATCAGTCAGTAAAGCACCGTTTAACTACAATTGGAGTATAATACTAATAAAATATTTAAGGATAAAACTAATTCTGCCATTTTCGGCCCTGTAAAAACAGGTGTAGGTGACAATTTTATGGAAATAAAACACAAGTATTATCATACCAAATAGTAACTGCAGAGTGAAGGTAAAATAGAGTAATGTATATTTTAGATGTTCAGTTTAATCAAAGAATTACTAATGTTTTTATACAAACAGTAACAATAATTAACAAACATGTAACACAACCGTTTGTTAATTCTTAGATTCTTCAGCGAGAGCGAAGCGCGATGCCTCTAAGACTCGTGTGGTCAGATCGACTGAGTTCAGTAAATCCACTGATGTTCTGGCTGAGTGTGATCAGACTGAATGTAGATCAGTGAAGAAGGGATGTCAGATGATCCATGATCAGTACCTGAAGGGAGATCTCTCTCTCAACATCACTGACGCTGATCTCAGTAAGAGTGGAGTCTACACGTGTGAGTGTGGTGCTTCAGAGATCTGTGATGTGCAGCTTCAGGTTGAAGGTAGGTCTTCCTCTGTTTTCTTCACTGACTGTTACTAACAGAACTCCAGTGATTTAGATGCAGTGATTTGTATCAGATCTGCACTCAATAAAGTTCTTGTTTGTTTTTTTCTCATCCTCACTGTTCCTGAATTTAAACACACCAGAGCCAGAGAAGCGGACTGATAAAAAAGGAGACAATGAAGGACCGTCCAGTGGTAAGATCTGTTCAGTGCAGAAACTCTCACTAACAGGGCCACTTCTAGACTTTAGGGGTCTTAAGTGAAATTTGTGGTGACCCCCCATCTTGCTAGCTGATGCACTGTAAAATCAGAGGCTAACTAATAACAGTGACTGTCACAAGCTGTGTGTATTATAAACATTTATAACTGGCTGAATGTGTATTGCTTATTATTAGATGGTAGTTTGGGGCTCTAATCCGATACAATTT